TGGGAGGGGGAACTCCGTGACCGCGAATGAGGCGTTCCCGGAAGGGCCCGCTACCGCGGAGACCTCGCGCTCGCTCTCTGCCGCCGCGGGTCGGGCCCGAGCCCGCGGGGGGACGGGGCAGGCGCGTGCTCGCCAACATCGGCAACGTCGGCGCCGCAGATGCACCCCCTCAGAGGCCCTGCGACAACCGCGGGCAGGGCGGTGAATGTCAGGGGGGGGGGGGGGGGGGGGGGGGGGGGCACGGCAAACGCGGGCAGAGGGGTGAATGTCAGGGGGGGCGACGTGACAGCCGCGGGCAGGGCGCCCCAAGCAGGGGGATGGATGTCTGCAGGGGCCACTGGAGGAGGCAGAGCGGGGAGGGGGCAGAGGGGGGGGCGGAGGCAGAGGCAGAGGGGAACTGGGCAGAGCGACGTGCAATGAGAGGAGGGAAAGGCAGCAGGGGCACGCTCGCAAATTTTACTGCGCCGCGCGGCGCGCGTGGATCCTGCGGCGTCGACGCGCCCCCCCGCGGCCTTCGCCGCCGCGAGTGCTCCGAGGGCGCCGCCGCGGCGGAGGTCATGACAAGACGGCCCCACTGCCGCCGGGAACCCTTCCACTGCGCCCCCTCTTGCGCGGCAGCCGCGCGTGGCGAAGCTGCCCCCTTGCCGAGGAACTGCCGGCGCCATCCCCCTCGCCCCGTCCATCGTCGCCGTCTCCGCGGCGGCGGCCGCCCGAGGTTCTTGGCCAAGCAGGCCCCTGCTTCGCCCGCCAACAAGCCCACTTCGACCCCCCCCCAATCTGCCTCGACACCTGCCCCCGCAGCGTCGCGCCACGAGCGCCAGAGGGCGTCGGCCTGCGCGGGCGCATCTCCCCGGGCACTGTCTGGCCCCGCAGCCGCGGACTCCGCGGCGGCGGCCTGCTTCGCCGCCCATGCGCCGCGCATGGGGGCGCCCTAGCTCCCGCATGTTCCACTCCGGTTGCCACTTTGTCGTTCGCGAGGCCTGCGTGGGACCTCGGGATAGCGCCGCCCGCGCGGCGTGCGTGGAAGTCCCGGGCGGGGGCGGGCCATCGCAATCAAATGCCCGCCCCGCGCGACGAGCGGCGCGCCAGCGTTCGCGATCGCGCGCGTCGAAGGCCTCGCATCAGATGCGCGCGACGCCCATCGAAGGATCGGGCCCCGCAAATTGTCTTTCACGTCCGGGTTGAACGCAGGCAACAGTTGGCGCCGTGACCATGGCTGCGTCTCGCCATCACTGAAGCTGCGCGCCAGTCCCGTGGCGCGGTCGAGCGCGCCTATGCCCACGCGATCAGAGCCGGTGATGCCCGCGGGCCGCTGCGTCGGAAACCCGGAGGGTTTTCGTGAGAGTCCCTGATCCTTTTCACAGCGATGTCATTGAGCTCGAAGGGCTGGGTCACGTGCGCCGCGCCGCGCGCGGGTCTGCCCGCAACGCCGCCGCCGCGGCTTGAGTGCCAGGCGCCGCCCCCGCGACGGCCCCGGGACCGCCGTCGCGGAATTGCGGGGGGGGGGGGGGGGTGGAAGAAGGAGAGTAGAACCAAAACTCTTCCCCAAGAGGGCCCACTATGGTTTGTAATGGTTTGCCTGTTGCTCGTTTGTCATGGCCTGATTGTCGTTGGTCTGGCATGGTTGAGTTGTTGTTGCTCTGTCCTGGTTTGGTGGCTGTTGGTCTGTTGGGTGTTACCGTGGGTTTGTCATGGTTTGTCTGTTGTTGATGTGGCATGGCTTGTTTGTTGTCGCGGTTGGTTTGTCATGGTTTGTTTGTTGTTGGTTTGTCCTGGTTTGTGCGTTGTTGGGTTGCCGTGGTTTGTCATTGTCCGTTTGCTTGCTATGTGTTGTTATGGTTTGTCGTGGCAGGAATGCAAGTGGCCCCCGTCCAGAGTCGTCGTCGAAACGACGGGGGGGGGGCGCGGGGGCATTCCAGGTCGCCCAAGGTGTCCGACGCGGCGCCCAATATGGCCCAGGCATGCCACGAAGGCCACAAAGGTGGCCCAAAATGCCGCCATAATCCATGCAATCAACGTCGAAATTACGGAGGGAACCCTGGCGCATTCCATGGCGCCAAGGGCATCCAAGACGACTTCCAAGACGGCCCAGGAAGGCTACGAAGGCCACCAGGATGGCCAAATATAGACCATAATACATGCAACCCTTGTCGAAATTATGGGAAGAGCCCTGGCGGGGGCCCCAAGGCGCCCAAGGTATCCAAGATGGCTTCCAAGACGGCCAAGGCAGGCCACGCTGGCCGCCAATTTGGCCCAATATGGCAAACACACGCAGGCGCGCGGCGTCGAAATTACGGGGCGAGCCCCGGCGAATTCCAGGGTGCCCACGGCGTCCAAGATGGCTTCCAAGACGGTCTGAGAAGGCCACGAAGGCCGCTGGCCCAAGTTGGACCCATAATCCTTGCAATCAACGTCGAAATCATTGGAGGGGGCCCGGCGCATTCCAAGGCGCCCAGGGCGTCCAGGACGCCCTTCAAGACGGCACGGGCAGACCTCGAAGGTCACCAGGATGGCCCAAGATGGCCCCAAGAAGGTCCCGGGGCATTCCCAGGCGACCAAGGTATCCGAGATGGCTTCCAAGGCGGCCCAGGCAAGCAATGGAGGTCACCAAGATGGCTCAACATGAACAAATAACCGATGCGAGCGATGTCGAAATTACGGGAAGAACCCCGGCGCATTCCGAAGCAAACGGAATATCCAAGATGGCTTCCAAGGCGGCTCAGGCAGGCCACGAATTCATCTGCGCCAGTCGGGGCGCGCGCGCGTCTGCCGAGGCCCCGCGGCCGTGGGCGACTTCGCGGACCCCCTGCCTCCTACCCCCACTTCCCTGCCAGCGCGGGCAAGCATCCCGCCGCCGCGGGCGAGTCTCGGGAGCTGGGCGAGGGCCGGCAAATCCGCGGGCGCTAAAACAACTTTCCCCGAAGAGACAATATGTCCCAGAGGAGGGCGCAAGGTGCGAAATCATGAACGAGCTTCTCCCCGAAAGAACAACAACAATTTTCCGGAGCTCCGTCTTGGGTTTGCCGGCCTTCGCCTGGCTCCTGGAAGTCGCCGGCTCAGAGCCCTACCGGCCGCTCTTATTGCGCCAGCGCTGCTCCTGGCCAAATTGTTTCTCCCACTTCTCGGCGCGGCCCTCGCGAGCTGCCTCGACCCGCGGGGGCGCGGTGGGGCGCGCTGGGGCCGAGAAAGATTGCGACACTTGCACACAGCCATGCGGTGTTGGGTCCTCCTCGTTTTGAAGGGACAGCGCACCGCGCCCCCCCCCACCCGCCTCCTCCCCCTCCCCCCCCTTCCCTTCTCCCAGTCCTTGCCCCTGCCTTCATAATGTCTCTGTTTCGGTGCACCCCTCGCGCGCTTCGCGGCCCCATAAAGGGGCCCCACCTCATGCCCCGGTGGCGCAGTTCGCGCCGCCGCCCCATTCCGGCACACCCCTCGCGCATTTCGTGGTCCCAGAGGGAGCTCCACCTAAGGTCGCAGCGGCGCAGTTCACATGGCGCCGCCGCCACATTTGGGCAAGCCCCTCACGCGCTTCGCGGCGCCAGCGGGGAGCTCCACACAAGGTCGCAGCGGCGCAGTGCGCACGGCGCCGCCGCCCCATTGTGGCACACCCTCCACGCGTTTCGTGGCCCCATATGGGGCCACACCCAAGGTCGCAGCGGCGCAGTTCGAATGGCGCCGCCGCCCCACTGTGGCACGCCCCTCACGCGTCTCGTGGCCCCGTAAGGAGCTCCATCTGAAGCCCAGTTGCGCAGTTTGCATGGCGCAGCCGCCCCATTTTGGCACGCCCCTCGCACGTTTCGCGGCCCCACGGTGTGCAATTCACAGCCCAGAGCCTGCCTATCTAGAGCCTACTTAACACAGATGGCCCCTAGAGGCCGAGCGTGACATATGTCTATGATCAAACTCCACAAGGGGCCTCTTTTATGTATCCCTGCGTATCCCGGCAAATCGGGCCCCCTTTAGCCTCCAGGTTGCAGCCAGCCTTGCTTAGTAGGCCCTCCGAGATGCTCCGAGATCCTCCGAGATTTCCATTATAATATCCCAGAACAGGTTCATCCGAAACCGTTCTGGCTCAAGCCTTTGCAGCGCCACAGCGACGCTGGACTGACTGGCGTGCGTCTGGGAGATGCAGAGCAGAGAACTGCCCGCCAATATACAGATCCTGTCCATCACCATCGTGCGACCAGAGTCGCAGAGACACTGCCCCATATTCCCCAATAGCAAGGACCTCACACACATCATCAAGAGAGACGAGGGACTGGCATCCTGGTTTGATATCTTGTGGCAAGGGAGATAAGTACTCTGGATCATATCAGGGCAGTGCTCTATCAGCGGGACCATTACACGGGAAGCCCCAACCAAGGTCGCGATGGCGCAGTTGGCACGGCGCCGCCGCCCCCTGCGCTGCTACCCCTTGCGCAGCGCAAATGTAGTCCAGCCTGTGTGGCGATCCATTCTGCGCAACCCACGCGTGGGCTTCGCCAGCCTGTGGCAAGATAGTACTGAGGGCAAACAGCTGTGTGGCCATAAGACGACTATGAAAACTTCATCCAACCAGGTCATCGTGCTGAGCAAACCCCTTATCCCCCACGACCTCGGCCGTGATGGACCCCACTCATCCGTTCGAATCAATGAGGAAAATGTCGACACAAAATTTATTGACAACATCATCGGTGACATGCCACCACTGCTCCTGTTCCTCGGGCGTGCCACTCCCAGCGTGCGGCGCATGCAGCACCGCGACTCTATAATTGAAGTGCTCCTCCTCCTCTTTCTCCTCCTCCTCCTCATCCCCCATCATCCCCCATGTTTGTTCAAGTGCTATTCATCCGCATGGGGAGCAACAGAAGCAGCAGCAGCAACAGTAGCAGCAGCAGCAAGCTTCCTCCGCCTCCTCCGTGCCCATCCTTCCCCTGTCGTCCTCGTCGTCGTGATCTTCGTCTACTTCGTCGTTACCGCCGCCGCCGCCGTCCTCGTTGTCGTCCTCCACCTCCTCGTCGCCGCTTTCCGTGCAGGGGCACCACGCGAGACCGCGAGAGAGTGCCCCTGCGCGCGCGCCCGCGCGTAGCGCCGCCCCAGTGCCCTTTTTGGCAGAGGGGCAGGGGGCTGCGCAGAGACCTGCGCAGAGACCGCGTCTGCGGAGTCGCCAGCGCCGACCTCCTCGGGGCAAAAGATGGGGATGAGCGAAGAGATGCGAGGACGGGGAGGGAGGGGGGAGGGGAAGCAGGACGAGGAGGAGAGATCAGAGAAAAAGGAGGGGCGGGGAAGGGCGGAATGGGGGGCAGGAGCGAGGAGGGTCGGGAGGACGCTAAGCATGGTGGAGGCAGGAGGAAGGGGAGGAGTAGGGGAGGAGGCGGGAAAGCCACATCTTGGTGATCATGAGGCTCTGAACAGAGAGGGCTGTAATGTGAGTGTGAATGGTTTGTGCATGAGTCTGAATATGACGGAACTGAGTGTAAATGGGTATACGTGTGAGTGAGCCTGAGTGTGAGTAATGGGTGAACCTGAATGTGAGTGGGTCTGAGAACGAGTGGGTCCCAGTATGGGGGGGTGAGAGGGGGCAGGGAATGGAAGCAGGCAGAGGCATCACACTAATAATCATACATCATCTAACATTTCGGAATAAACGCCTCGGAGATTGCCGAGATGGTCCAATACAGCCTCCGACAGGGTCCAAAGTGGCCTCCAAACAAATTCATTATGTACCCAACACGGCCCAAGATGGCCGCAAGACTGCCCAAGACGCCCCAGATACTGTCCAAGAGTGCTCCAAAGTGTCCTCCAGGAGGGCCCGAAGAAGCCGACATCGTTGAATTCCCTGTGGTTATTCAACTGATTTTGGCGTTCTCCCCTGTCGAGTTCCGGTCGGCCCATTGAGGCACCTGGGGCCTCCAGGACATTCCCAAAATGGCTCTAGAAGACTCTAGAAGCCCCCAAGACGGCCCCGAGACGCGTCAAAAGGTCCCCAAGAAGACCCAAGAGGCTCCTAAGACGGCCCCAGTAGGGCCTCAGACGTCTCCAAGACGGCCCGAAAGCGTCCCAAGAGGGCACCAGGGCCTCAAGACCGCCCATTGAAGCCCCCCAAGACAGGCCTCCGAAGACTAAGCAGCGCGTTTGGACCCCCAAGAGACCCCAGGAGCCCTCCGAGGACCCCGAGAGCCCCCCAGGAAGCCCCAAGGAGGCCCCAAGAGGACCCCAAGAAACATCCCCATCTTCTCTCCTCCCTGTGCCCTCTTCCCTATTCCGCTTCCTCTTCCTTCTCCCAGACGTTGGCCCAACGTTTGGCCACATTGGCATTCCTAGAAAGGAAGGGAGCGGCGGTGATCTGCCGAAGGCGTCTCCGGTAATGAATAACTCGGCCTTCTGCGGGTTTATTCCCGAGCCCGCTCCTGGTCTCTGGCGAGGCGCATGCAACCGCCGAACGGCCGCCTAGACGGAGGCCTCGAAGACGTCCGCGAGCCGGAATGAGACCTCCTCCCGCGCCGGCGGCATCCCCGAGCCGCCTTTTGGGGGCCTCCAGGACGCGGCGGGGGGAGACCCCCTCAGGCCGAAGAATGGGGAGCTCGACGAGGGGGACCTGGACTTTGTCGAAGATGCAGCCCTGGGGGAGGAGGCCGCTGACGAAGCCGCTCTGGGCGAGGGCTGCCTCGTCGGGCCCCACCTCCGCTCCCCCCTCCCTCCCTGCCCGTGATGCGTGCTGCCCCTTCGGCGGGGCTCCCCTTTCTCTACTGCTTCTCTTCTCCTCCTGCTGCCGCCCCTCCTGCTGGCGAGGATGGCCTCGGAGAATGGCCCTTCGAGGGAATCGGAGAGCTCGCTGCGCTTCCGCCCGCCGCGACTCGCCTTCCGAGGTCCGCGAACAGCTTGCCGAGAGGGAGGATAGGCCCTCTCGTGCCCTCGGAGATCATCGTTACGATCACCAGTCCAGACCTCCGCCCCTCCCCCCTACCTCCTTCCTCGTGGGTACAGAGGTTCGGTGGCAACTTCTGAGGCAACTTCCAGGGAATATGATGATGGGGCGACTGGGACAATATGATTACCAAAACATTCTGGGGCCGATGGCTGTTTCGGCCTCCCAGGAATTGCAGCCTGAACGAGGGACGAGGGACCAGGAGGGGGGTGGTGGCAGGGTCGGACTGGCGGTCGTCACGAAGATCTCGGGGTGACCGGCTCGGAACGAAGCAGATCGGGCGGCTCCTCCGGCAGCGCGACCGACCCTGTCTGGGTGCCCGGCGCGGACGGGCGCAAGGAACCACGCGCAGCCAACGGAGGCGACGTGGCAGAAGATATTGCTCTGCTGACGTGGACCGCAACGGCGCCCCGGCGGGCGTGCAGCGCGGCCTTGGGGATGGGCCGGTCGGGGAACGGGTTGAAGCCGCGGCTCAGGGCGTCCTGGTCGACCTGCGTGGCCGCGTGTACGAAGCAGTCTGCGAACTGGGCGTAGTCCAGCCCGCGAGCTCGCGCGCGGAGGTGCCTTGGGTTCCCGATGTCCCCGAGGCGCTCCAGCACGGCGGCGTCAAGGTCGCCACGTGTCAAGGGGCCCCTGTTCGGCATCACCACGCGGCTCAAGTCCTCCTCGCTCGCGAGGCCGTCCCCGTCCAGGTCGGCATCCCTGAAGAAGCCCGCCAGCAGCTCCGCGACTTCCCAGACCTTCTGCAGCTGGTGAGGCTGCAGGGTGCCCAGGCTTGCCAGCAGTTCCTGGGCCACCGGTGGCGCGACCAGGTCCGGCGGGACCTCGTCGCCCGCGGCCTGCGGGCCCCCGAAGAGCGCCATGGCCCTGGCCTGGGAACTGGCGCCGCGGCCCAGCTGGTCCCCGAGGAGCGCGCTGCGCACGGACGCTGCCTTTGGAGATCCCAGGCTGCTCTGGGACGCGACGCCGCGGCCCAGGCCGTCCCCAGCGGGCTCGCCCTGCGGCCCGGCGCGGCTGTTGGCTCTCCCAGGTCCGCGCGGGCCTTCGGAGGGTGGGCGGGGGTCAGTGCCACGGGGGGGCGCGGTGTCCTGTGACCCCACTCTGCCTCAGGCCCCCTCCTCCTCTTCCTCCTCCGCCTCCTCTGTTCAAGACCGCAAAGGAGAGAATCAAGAAATTCGGCGCCCCAAACAGGCTCTAGAGGCGTCTTAGATCCCCCTCGGCGGCAACCCAGGTCGGAATGTTTCGATATATATATATATATATATATATATATATATATATATATAATCCGCGCGGGCAAGGGCAGCCCTGGGGGTCTGCAAACATCACTGTGACCGAATGTGGTAAAAGCCCATAGTGCCCCAGCAGCCGCCAAGAGCGCGCAAGTCAAACCGTGTCAAGTGCCTTGCTGGGCCCAAGATGGTCTCAATAAGGCTCCGGGATAATGCCAAGGTGGCCCTAGGATGATCCAACAAAATCCACTGGACTGCACAAACGGACGAAGCTAGCGGAGTCACCTTTTTCTCGGATGCTCCCAAGTTGGCCATACTCATTGAACAACTAACGGTGCTTCACATATCTTGGCGTCCCTGCCCGTGTGGGCTTGATTAGGCGTCTCGGGCCCCGAGGTGGTCACAAGGTGGCCACAAAAGAGCCCCCAGAGAGCCCCGACCCCCGCAGGGCCACAATATGGTTCCAAGAGAGCACCTAGAGGGGGGTCAGTGGGAGGCAGGCGCCGCGATGGCCTCAGCACTAGCGCGGGGTGGGGGGAGGCGGACATGGCCAGCGGCGTCCATGCAGGCCATCGGGCGCGCACTGGCGCGGAAATTACCGCGCATGTGTGCAGCACAATCACAGTGGACTGGAGGCTTGCGCGCACCACAACAACGCGGACAATATCATGGGAGGACAGAAGCGGAGACCAGCACCAAGAAAACATATGTGCCACTGCCTTTGGTACAATTGTGTTTTGGGCCAGGTCGAACCATCGAACCCGTCATGGCTCGCCGAATCGCAGGGGAAAGACGATGGGAGAGAAACAATAAACATCGCTTGAGAGGCCCGCCAATAAGGCCCACCCACGAGAGCCCAGCAGCCAGCGACGAGTGCCAGAGTCCGAAGCCACCCCAGAAAAACAACGCTCGGGATTCTCAGCCTGCAGGCCCAAACCACATCTGCAACATCCTCGCAAGACCACGCACCCGCAAGGACTCCGTTCTACTGGAAATATTGGTGCTGGTGTCGAATTTCCGACAATGCCGATATCAAACACCCGGCACCGGCACCCAGACGCCACTGAGAGCACTGTCCTTGTGGACGTTGGTTGGGTGAGCGGGGCCCCGTAAAGCCCGACGGCACGCCAGGTCCGCCGATCATCGCGGGCCCCATTGAACGCGAAGACCGACTCGCAAGACTCGTGAGCCTGGACCTCATTGTGTTCATGGGGCTCGCTGGAAGGCAGAGGGGGAGCGCCCGCGGCGTCCTGCACCTCTACTCAACAACTTCGTTCACAGCGGGCAGACAAGCCAGAAGACATGGGCGAAGGTATGCAACTGAGACTCCATTTTTCCCAACCATCCTGTGCTGTTGGGTCCTCGTTTTGAAGAGACGGTCCCCGCATTTTCCTCCTCTCGTGCCCCCCCCCCTCCTCCCTACCGTCCGCATGCGTCCCGCACACCCAGTATAGCGTTTCGTGGTCCCATAGGGAGCCACACCGAAGGTCCCAGCGCTACCGTCCGCATGCGTCCCGCACACCCAGTACAGTGCTTCGTGGCCCTCCTCCCCCTCCTACCTGCGTTTCACCCACCCAGTATAGCTTCTCGTGGCCCCAAAGGAGCCCCACCGAAGGTCCCAGTGCTACCGTCCGCATGCGTCCCGAACACACAGTACAGCGTTTCGTGGCCCCATAGGGAGCCCCACCGAAGGTCACAGCGTTATTCTGCAAGCGTCCCGCACACCCAGTACAGCGTTTCGTGGCCCTCCTCCCCCTCCTCCCTGCGTCTCACCCACGCAATACACCGCTTCGTGGCCCCATAAGGAGCTCCACCGAAGGCCCCAGTGCCACCGTCCGCATGCGTCCCAGAGGACCCCCAAGAGCACCTCCAGAAGCCAAAAACCAATGACTTTCCAATGGTTTTTTTTAAGATTTCAGCGTTCCCGCCTATGTCGACTCTCAAAAGTCCAGGGCGGCCGAAACAGCCTCCGAAGTGGCCTCCAGGCGGCCCAAGAAGCCCTCAAGAGGGCCCCAGAACGGCCCAAGAGGGCCCCCAGACAGCCCAAAGAGGCCGCCGAGATGGCCCAGGAGGCCCCCAAGACGGGCCCAAGAGTACCCCAAGACAGTCTCCGAAGGGACAAGACAGCGCAAGAGCGCCCCCAAGACGCCCACACGGTGCTCCGAGAGGCCCCCAAGAGGCCTCCCAGAGGCCCCCAAGACGCCTCCCAGACGCGCCCGCGAGGACCCAAGAGGCCCCAAAGAGGCCTCCAAGGGGCCCCAAGAAGTTCCCAGAGGCCCGACAAAGACTGGATTGTACGTGCTCCAGACGTGCACCCCGCGAAGCGAGAGGAATCCACGTCCGGAGGTGACGTGTTGCCAGAGGCAGGCCCGCGGAGGCTATAATGCAACGTATCCAATGTATCCAATGATCGCATAATTGCTACATATTGTATTGTGTTACATTCCTCTCGCTTCGCGGGGTGCACGTCCGGAGCACGTACAATCACGTCGTCGCGGGGCCTCTTGGGAGGCTCCTGGGGGCCTCCTGGAGGCCTCTTGGGAGCTTCTTTGGGCCTCCTAGGGGCTTCTTTGGGGCCTCTCCCCCCGTCCTTTTCATACTCTCTCCCCATCTTCCCTTCCGGGGCCGGCTCGAATCATGGGCGCCGCCGTGACCAACTTCCACCTGGCTGGCGCTGCGCCGCAGTTCGCCCAGGGGGAGAAAAATAACATTACACTCCAGTCGTTGTGTGGCCTTGTGGGGGCTTCTTTGAGGCCTCTTGGAGGCTTCTTGGGGACTTCTTGGAGGCCTCTTGGGTTTTTGTTGAGCCCCTTGGGGGCCTCTTGGGGCCTCTCGTGGCCTCTTGGCCGTCTTGGGGCGTTTTTGCGCCGTTCCGCCCCTTCGGAGGCCGTCTTGGGGGCCTCGCGCGGCCGCCTTGGGGTTCTTTTGGGGTCCTCTTGGGTCGTCTCAAGGTTTTTGTTGGACCGCCTTGGGGGCCTTTTTGGGCCGTCTTGGGGCCCTCCTGGGCCGTTTGGGGGCCCTTCTGGGGGCTTCTTGGGCCTTTTTGGGACAATTTTGGTGGCTGCCTGGGCGGCCATGGGCTTCTGAGAGTCGAGAAAGGCGAGAACGCTGAAAACATAAAACAACTATAGGAAAATGTATGATTTTGGCATCTGGAGGCACTCTTGGGGGTCGTCTTGGGGCCCTCTTAGGACGTCTTAGGAGTTTCTTGGGCCCTTTTGGGGCCATCATGGACCGTCTTGGAGCCGTCTTCGCCCGTCTTGAAGCCATATGGAGCCGTCTTGAGGCCCTATTGGGCCTCCCAGAGAACCCAAAGTCCCGAATCATCAATTTTACATAGGTTTTGGTACGTTTTTGAGCCCCAAATGGGGGTCGCCACCTTGGGTCCAGGGATGTGGCGTAGTCCCTGGGGGGGGTTTGGGGGGGAGACATAATACTGTAACACAGTACAGTATGTGGGAAGTTTGCAAACATTGGACACATTGGATCCACTGCATTACAGCATCCGCGGAAAACGCTGCCGCTCAGCACGTCACTTCTGGACGTGGATTCCTCTCGCTTCGCGGGGTGCACGTCCGGAGCACGTACAGTCCAGTCGTTTCGGAGTGTCCTGGGAGCTCTTGGGGGTCTTGTGGAGGCTTCTTGCGGCCATCTTGGGGCTTGTTTGGAGCCTCTTCTGTGCTTTTTGGGGGTTTCTTGGGCTGTCTTGGGGCGCTCTTTCGCCGTTTGGCTTCTTCGGAGATGGTTTTGAGGCTTCTCGGGGCTGCTCAGAGCTCTCTTGGGGTCGTCTTGGGCCGTGTTGAGTTCCTCTGGGACCGGCTTTGGGGCCTCATTTGGCAATTGAGAGGCTCGTGGGCCGTCTTGGGGTTTGTTCGACCGTACCAGGGCCATCTTGGAGGCTTCTTGGGCCTTTACGAACCCCCGAGAGCAAAAAAATGTGAGAACGCGAAGACGTATCAAGTACCGATGGGAAATCTATGTGTTTCGCTTCAGCAGGCGTTCGTGGGAATCCCCAAGAGGCTCTGAACCGTGCAGGTTGGGAACACGTGCAGCCCAGTCGTTGCCGGACTGCAGGGGATCTCTGGGGGGGCCTCTGGGCTGCGCCTTCTGGGCGTCTGTGGGGTTCTCTTGGGAGCTTCCTGGGGCCCTTCTTGCGCGTCTTTGGCTGTTTTGGGGCGCTCTGTGCCTCGCTACCCCTCCCTCCCGCCTCCCGCCATCCCTCCTTTTCCTTCTCCCCTCCCCCTCCTCCCTTCCAGCGCTGGCTCTGATCACGGACGCCGCCGTGACCAACTTCCATCTGACTGGCGCTGCGCCGCGGTTCGCCCAGGGCGGGATATTATTGTTTAGTGACTCGCCGAAGGTGTTTCAGAGCACGTTCAGTCCAGTCGTTGTGGGGCCTCCTGGGAGTCTCTTGTGAGTTTCTTGGAAGCTTCTCAGGGGCCTGGGGGGCCTCTTTGGAGCCTCTTAGGGCCTCTTGGGGACGTCTTAGGCCGTCTTTGGGCGCTCTTACGCCGTCTGGCCACTTCGGAGGCCGCTTTGGAAGCCTCTCGCGGCCGCCTTGGGGCTCGCCTGGGGTCCTCTGGGGCCGTCTTGGGGGCTTCTTGGGCCGTCTTGGAAGTTTTTTTGGCCGTCTCGGGGCCCTCTTGGGCCGCCTTGGGGCCCCTTTGGAGGCCTCTTGGGCCGTTTGGGGGCCTTCTTGGAGGCTGATTGGGCCGTCATGGCCTTCTGAAAGCCGAAAAAGGCGAGAACGTTGAAATTGTCCCAGAAATATAGGAATATGAAAGATTTGGCCTCCGGAGGCGCTCTCGGGAGTCTTCTTGGGGGCCTCTTGGACATTCGTGGGGGCCTCATGGGCCCTCTTGGGGCCATCTTGGGCCGTCTTGAGGCCGTTTTGGGTTGTCTTGGGGCCATCTTGGGACGTTTTGAAACCTTCTTGGGGCCCCAAGAGGTCCAAGAGGCCGAATTTGTTAATTTCT